AACATGCTAGTAATAATGAACATGCTAGTAATATTGATTTGATCATCACATATTGTACACAAATACTGATAGTCAATGCTGTACTGAAAAAATATGTATAATCAATTTTGTTTCAATTTTTTTTTTTTTTTTGTCTTTTTCCGTGTCCAGCAACGGATCGCAACCCTCAGTGTTGCCCCCGTACCGGACCCGGGACCGGCAACGGGATTGCAACCCTCGGCATTGCTCCCGCGCCTCGCTCAGCCAGTGAGCGGGAACCGGTCTGTATGTGGGATCCGAACCCTTGGGCGGGAGCGCCGCCACACTTCCCAAGCGGCGCACTATCCAGTGCGCCACCGGGCCGGCCCTCAATTTTTTAAAAAAGTTTCTAACATCATCCACAGACATGATCAATGCCTGAGCTACCACATGCACTAATATCTGATGCACATATAAAGATCCAGAATTAACCTTGGGGGCTACCTCCCACGTACACCTTGACCCAGAATAACTTTGGGAGCTACCTCACACACTGACCTAGAATTAGCGTTGGGGGCCATCTCACATATTCACCTTGAAATCTGAGCACATCTGCAACTATAAGCTCTTTGATCTCAAGATAAAAAAAGAAAATTTTGCAGTGCTACAAATAAGAATCACCATTTTTTTTTTCCTTTTTGTCTTTTTTCGTGACCGGTAACGGGATCGCAACCCTCGGTGTCGCACCCGTACCGCGACCGGCAACGGGATCGCAATCCTCGGTGTCACGCCCGCACCGCGCTCAACCAGTGAGTGGACCAGTCTCTATATGGGATCTGAACCCTTGGCAGGAGCGCTGCCCTCTACCTAGTGCGCCACCGGGCTGACCCAAGAATCACCATTTTTAATACCTGATCTCAGAAAAAGGGCAGCTACACTGCTCTCTGACTGATAAAGAGTCTTGTCTTCCGGGGCAGGAGAAAGTCTTGCCTACTCTGTTCCTCCCAGCCACCTACAGGTGTCCCCTGAAAGACTGAGAGAAGAGACTAAGAAAGGCTCCAGATCCAGCAGTGCCAGGCGTACAGTTCTGCCAGGGAGCTGGAACCTGACGGTCTCTCAGAAACTGATCCACCTTTCACTGCTCATTTGCCTTCAAAGGAACACCGAATCCAGGCCTCAGGAAAGACACAGCTAATTCTATACAGCTTGAGCCTACTTTGGATGATCTGGGAAAGCATGTCGCCCTACTCAGAGGAACTTAAACTGACCATGTATATGTTGACCCCGAATCAGAGACATGTGGTTGAACCACGGATGGCATACTTCAAATCAGGCTGAGGACAAAGAATCTGGGATATGGAATCCATACCCTTTTTCATCCTAGATTTTCTATTATTTCCAACTTCTTTCAAGAAACCTCTCAGTTCTCCATGGGCTATCAAGCTCCTCCATGATTCTTCTGTTTTCCCCCATAAAGAACAGGAACATATCATATAACATAAGGTGCCCCAAATCCGTCAAACCGTGAAGGATTACGAGGGTATTTCAAAAAGCTCATGGAAAATGGAATTAAAAGATAATACAAATCCTTCCATAAACTTTTTGAGGACCCCTCATGTATATATAAATATCATTTTGCTTAATAAAACTTTACATAGTATATGGTTTACCCCTTACTACTTGTTTATGAGGTCACTAGGAAAATCCTTGCTCTTTTAATGTCTTTCCTCCCCTGTTTATCTTTGATATCTCTTTTAATGTCTTTCCTCTCCTGTTTATCTTTGATATTCCCCCTTCTCCCTCCCTAGCTTTTCCCTTCTCTATCCTAGAGTACAGAGCTCCTTTTCTTCTTTAGTATTTAATTCAAACACAAGCTCTGCCAATAACCCTCAGCCATTGCTGCATCATGCTGATTTGCACCAGCTGTGCCTTATGGTGGTTAACCCACACTTATAACAGGGTCTCCTTAGATCTTACTCTGAGAACAAGATTCCACATACACATCTAAAAGTCACAACCAGTGGGGTGGAAATTGAGCCAAAAGTAAACAGATCCTGCTTTGAACTACTGATCCCATTAAATGAGAAAAAAATTCAACTGGACGAAAGAAAAATGCTACCAAAGTTATAGCTTAAAGATTTTCGTGGACACATAAAATGAACTGTAAAGATGATCTGCCCTTCAAACATCCCACTTCCAAATGAAATATTAATTTTCTCAGTACTAATGGGGGTGGAGGAAAGAGGCAGGTCAGGTCAGGGAGTAGAGGAAGGAAAAACTGTCATCATGAAAAACTCAAATGACAGTAAAAAGTATACTCCCAAATTAAAAGAGACCCGCCAGGAACTTTATCATGTAACCAGAGTTTGCAAAGCTTAGAGTCTTTGAGAATCTTAGAGTCTTTACAATTGTAAAAGCCAAGTCCATGGAGCAGCAATTGAAAATTAGAATATAATGGCATTATTCTGCAACTTTGGGGAAATCATAATCTTGGATCATCAGTTTTCCTGTGAACTCCCTCCCTGAGCAGTTACAGACAAGGTCACCAGATGCTTTATGTATACGGAATTGTCTGCCCGTTTATTTTCCATTATGAAATCATGTGTAATGGTCCTGTGCTTGAACATGATCAGATATTGCAAATGACTCTCATTAGAATGTAATCATCCTTCGTCTCTGCCCCTGTGTGATTATGTTTATGTGATTATCCAGATTCTCCAAACCAAACTCAAGTCATCCTAGCTCCAGCTCCATAGGATAATGGACAAACGCCACTGGTTTTTTACAAAGAAAAATCTTCCAGATTGCAAAATTATTTATTAATTTCAAAAACTCTGGCTAACCTCAAGATCAGGGACACGAACGTGGTCCATCTGATGCAAAAGGACATTAACAGTCTGAGAAAAATATGATAAAGTTAACTTTTTATTACAAAGCTCATCTACTTACAAGTTAGGTTCCCTAAGGCTATCTTCAAGTCTGTTTCTCTGTAATTCCAAGAACACATTAAACAAGCCACTGCTAATGTATTCTGTCAATGGCAGGCAGAACTGGTGCACTTGGTCAGGACAGCTTTGGTCCATCTATGAAAGTTCTGAGGTTGAGAGTGTGTAGAAGACAAAACTTCTATACTCATTCTGTTCACTTGAACTAAAGTAAGTTTTTGTCCAATAAAAACAGCAGCAACATGATTCCAGGCTCACCAGAAAACACAGCATTTCATCAGAATTCAAGCATGGAATTATCGGTTCCTAAGCACCAACAACATTAGTACAAAAATGGAAACATCACGAGCAGTGGCAGACGGGTGTCCTGATGTTTTGGTGGACAAGTTTTCCTCAGGAGGCATAAAGCTTGCATGACCTTTCATGACCTGACAGTCTTCCTTTCAAGCCTGTCTCTCCCTACTGCTGCTACCTTGAGCCCTACCCTCCGTCCGTACTGTTTACTCTTCAGCCTCCATTCCCTCTACCCTCTGGGCCTTTGCACATGCTTCTCCTCCGTGTGGGACACTCCTCACCTGCATCTCTCTTGCTCGGTGTAGTTCACTCCCATTCATTCTCCAGTACCAGTTTATACATCACTCACTCCTACACATCATTAATTACTCGTAGCTTTTCCTAATTTCCCAAATTCAGGCAAAACGTGCCTTGTATGTGCTGTCTTACAAACTTGTATTTCCTTTGAATTGCCTGATCACATGTATGATGATTTTTTTTTTTTAATCTTTATTCCCAAATGAACTGTAAGCTCCATGAGGCAGGGGATATGTCAGTCCCTTTCATACTAGTTACTCAACAAATGTACCTCAATGTGACTCACGTTCACTATTCTATATCCACTAGGGTAGGAATTAATTTATTTTAGATTTTTCTTTATTTAATGATTATGTCTCATTTTATTTAACCTTTTTGTTTTTATGTGTTTAATTTGTAGAATTTTAAAAGACAAAGAAAAGCACAAATATATGCATAATCATGTTTATATTACCACCACCTAGAACTGACA